GCATGTCAAGATCCACTATTTTCCCAGTATCTTATTAACGGTTTTTTTACAAGCACGCCGCACGTCTCTCATACGCCACAGGAAGAACACTGGGTTTAAAGTAGCGTTGATGTAGACTATTGTATCCGCAATCAAAATCACAATCAAATATGGCGACGAAGTATGATGCATGAACTTGGCAAAGATATCTGGTGTGTAGAATACAAGCTGAAGTAGAAACACGCACAGCATCGTAGCGAACGAACGCTGGTACTTCTTCACGTTAATACAAGTGTTGTTTTCATTGGAGCTGACCTTATTTTGGTGTTGTTTCAAGCCATGATAGGCCTTGAAGTATGAGATGAACGTCACTATCAGACAAACAAGAAAAGCGATTCCAAGAAACGTTGTGAAACCACTACGTCCCAAAATACTAATCAAGCACCCTAATCCTACTGAAAATATCCACAGCGCGATAATTATAATTATTGCACGGAATGACGTCATCTTGGCGCGATATTGAAGCATAAGGTGAATGGCGAGGTATCGATCGAGACTYGACGCTGTAAGCGTTAACATAAGCGTAAGAGGAAGAGTGTTTGCGAAGAATCGCTCACTTGTGTCTAGATCGCAGTTGATGATGCCTYTYAAACTGTGAATCCTCGACACTATGAACAGCGGTTGTGCGCATAAGCCCATGAGTAAACCCGTCAGCATGAGGTTGCCTAGGAACCAGTTGGATGCATTCCGCAATGATTGCGTCCTTAAGATTGTGATTATGATTATACCATTAAGTCCTATGCTTGGTAACATTAGTGCACCATTTATAACGCTCGTGGCGTAAGCTGTTTCATGGTATAACTTTCCGTATTTCATGTAATCCGATGGTAGCGGCCATGACTTGCAACTGCGATTTTGCATTATAAAGGACAGCGGTAGACGAAATCAAGACTAGGATGTTTGGCTTTTAGATTCTTGTTGTACAGTCACCTGGARAGAGAGAAGATGCAGCTGTTAGATTAAACTGGATTGGCACTTGAAAAGTTTATTAACTAAGTTTGTAAATGTGTAAATATACTGTAAACTCAATTTACAGTCAAATGTCCTTTTACAAAGTTTGTAAATTTATCTACATTCTGTAAATTTCTTTTAAATTTTTCTCGATCAAGCGTTACAAATATCTTGTAAAATCAATTTACAAAGTTTGTAAAATGTTTATTCTGTATAAATATCGTGTAAATTTTGCTCGATCAAACATTGTAAATATCTTGTAAAATCAATTTACAAAGTTTGTAAAAGGACATTTTGTCTGTAAATTAAATAATTTACAGTACATTATAGACTCTGTAAATTGATCAGAACCGGCAAAACAACAAGAGCAGGAATAACCACCACAATGGTGTAGTTTAGAACGGTAAATCCAACATTCACACTACTATAGAGTGATTTTCAACAACTCGTGAAGCACAATTCGCTTCACGTTCCACGTTTTTGGTATTTGAAGTCTTTAACCCGTGAAACAAAACTTTACTCTTGAAGTGTGATAGTCCGTTAGAGACAAGAAGCAGTGGAATTAGAGCGTACTAAGTTGTATTAAAGTAATATCTATTTCACGGGTTTAAAGACTTCTCTATAAAGAAAGCGTAGAGGCACACTCCTGTWKTTTAAATTCTCCAGGGAAWAGAAAACAAAAGAGTTTCGAGCAGAAWAACCTATTTCACACCCTATTAGACACCCWATTTCACGTAAACAGGATCTAAAAGAAACAATGGATTCAGAGTGTGGTAACAGCTATTAGCCTCGCTAATCTTTCATGGTCAAATRAAAACACCTCTACTTGGACTACACACAATCGAGACTCAAAGGAATGCCATTCTAATAGAGTGTGGGTACTTATGGTAGTACCGGATCTTTTGAAGCCACCAATCGCACTTTTTGTTGAATTTTCTGTCATTTGGAGTCTATAAAGTCCATCTAAACACCGCAGAAAACGTAAAATAAACAATAAACACCCAAGGAGGSTATGATTTTTTATTTCCCACGCACTTTGGCGAAAAAAATCCACCATGGCTCGTTTGAAAGGGCACCGTAACTTCAAGAAACGAATAACAGAAAACTTCAAATGATTTTTAAGAAATTCATTAACGAGAGATATCGGGTTTTGAAAAAAATAGTGWTAAATTCAGTCATTGTGTTATAATTAAGGTAAAAAGAAAATTCTCGAAAAGTGAAAATGCGACCAATCAAGTCTAGATCTAAGTGGTCATAAACCGTATATGTAAATTTTAATGTTGAAAATTCATAGAAAATGCCAATGTATTTCTTTCATTTCGCGTTAAGAAGAATTAATTTATAGCAAATAATGTGGCATCTCATTCGTATGAAAACGAAAGAATGAAAAAAGAAGAAAGAAAAAAAAGGGGGATCGTCGTATTGTTTTGTTGCCGACCTTTATAGAACCGCTAATCCGAGAATTTGTTTACAAGACGATATGAATTTTGTATCGTTCGATGGCCATTTCAACACATTAAATCAACTTCACTTCAAAAATTTTCCTTGCTAAAATGCACTTTACTCCCTGCAGGGTATTTTAAAGCCTTTTCCTCGAAAACGCATCACAGTTTTTTTACGTGAAATATTAAGACTTTCGACTTCACTTTTTCCCAGTTTTTTTCACGGCCAAGATGACTGTTCTTAATGTAAACTGTAAGTTCGATATTTAAATTGACAAGAGAGAATTGAATAGATAGGTAAATTTGGACTTAAATACTTCGCTTCTAACACCATGACGCCAGTTAATCTACATTGACTGAAGCGAATACAGTGAAAGAACTACGATGCTTTAGCCATGCCAGTGGTCCAATCACTCAAATCGAAAGTTATTCTCTAATATCGCTGGTTTTAGTGCCTAGACTCTGTAGTCTTACTAGTAATTAAAAATTTTAACTGACACGAAAAAATATTGAAAATTAAGGTGGTTATCCTCATTTTCAAAAATCCTGACCAACAAATATCATTATATCTGATGCTTCATGGGTAATATAATGTCGCAAAACGTTAAAAWTTTTTGAACTTTGGTTTATTTAACATTATTCAAGCATAATCCGGCTTTTTTATTGACAAGTTAAAGTCTTCAATTTGAAATATGAACTACTCTATATAATATTTAGTTCATGTATATATATAAGTTAGCGATCGGGATACTTAAATTTTTAGATAAGACATTTTTCTAAATAAATACAAAATTATATTCGTTTCCTTTGACTATCAAGCATTGGTTACTGGATGTAAAAGTTTCCAAGACAAAGGAAACAAATGGAGTTTAAATAGTATTCCAATATCTATTTGCTTATATTTGCTCTTTCGACGTCGGATAAACATCATTCAATCCATTATTTGTCTTTTTTGTCCGTACTCAGATATATTATTGATTGGAAATTTACCTTTTTTGACGTTCGAATATCCTAATCTTTCATCTACACAATTAGGGCGACCCGTAAAACCAGGAATTGGGCTAATTAAACGTATATACGTRCACATCAATTTGTTGCATAATTTCGGATGCCAAGTACTGTTTTCTTGTCCATTTTACAGATGTTTCTAGGCTTGTTGTTCTATCATTGGTCAATGGAAAWTTATTTTCAAATACACTCAAGATCGATCGTAACATCCTTCACACCTTSAGGCAGTCTTCATTAATTCTGAGCTGGTACATGTAACTTTGCAGGGGTAACAGCGGTGGGAGATTAAGAATCTTATCATTATTTTATTCGCCCAGATTTTTAGCCTCGGGATGAAGATCACTGTCTCAAATTGGATCAAAAACGTCTCAGTTTCACTGATAAAATATCAAAGTTGTTTTTCATAGGAAATCTAAGTTAAAGTGTATGCAAATTAGGACGAAACTCGTGTCGTTTATAGATTCGGTCACAGCTATGATTTTGTCTTGAGCTATAGAATTATTAATGATTTTGATTCGGGGTTGCCTTTCAATTAGTAAAGTTTAAGAGAARMGTGGTTTCCATAAAARCCGTGAAATATACTTCAGATATTGTCCACGGTATTTATTACTCTTAAATCAATTGTTTCCTTTTTATATATATTTGACCACTAAACCGTTTACATCTTAATTTCTTGGTTTAAATTTCCRACTTTTTAAGCGTTTTGTTCTCGATATATTTTGTAGGTTCGGCCGGCCAACTGTTGTAGTTGTTCAAGTACACATGCACGCAACACACTGTTGACAATTTGCCTCACGTTCACATTGCTGTCATAAAAGAATTTTGAATTATATCCTTGTCTGCTTCAAGAGCTTTTCTTAGCTCTGAAGTGAGATGGTATTTAGTTAAATCGTTGTAGCGGGCGTGTGGTCGCCAGTTCCWTTGACCTTTTAACAAATTAAGATATTCTTTTGTGATATTTGTTACTATTCCCGTATATAGAATAGCTGTTAAACACACGAAACTCAAACTAAATCTTGATTTTATCGCTTAGTAAAATGACAATTCTCTCGAAATTCAGTTTTGCTATAGTACTAAACGGTACATTCTGCTATTTCACGAGCTAGGCCTGACATACTCCATCTATTTCTATTCATTTATTATTTCATTGTTCATTTATTTATTTTTTCATTCATTCATTCATTTATGCGTTCAATTTAATTCTAATATTCTTTACATGTACCTTGAAGCGCTCGGAGATATGAGAGATTTTGTTTTGAAACCGCCTATACATCGTTAACACAATCAAACCTAGTTATRAATGCTCGTCATATAGAAATAGACCATTTTGTTGTTAAGTAAAAAAGAAATAAAAGGAAAAAACAAAAAACTAAACAAAACAAATAAAACAAAGCACAAGAAAGCGTTCGGCCTGATGACTCTGAGTGATGTTTCTCTAAAAAACATCATTCCCAMATAAGCTTACATACATCATTCATTTGTTTGTTACAAGCTTTTAATTTTCATTTCTAAATGAGTTATTGGAATTTCTATTTGAAAAAAAGTATAGTACTTAGTGGTTTTGATGACAGTTAAAATATGCTCATATATTCTAATGTCATCACAACCTCTAAGTACTGTACTTTTTTTTTAAATAGAAATTCCACTTCACGGTGAGCCGGATTTATACGCTGTCCTTCCGTTTAAAGTTGATAACAAATTTCGAACATTCGACACTATTCTTCGTCAGTAATCAATTTTGAACCCTGTGAACAATATTTAACAAACAATACGCGCAAGACTTCGATAATAATTAATTGATGCCATGGGAAACTCAAAATATTTGTRTATAAATAAGTATGTTTTCCCCTAAACCTCTCATCGGGATAGCTATATAGACTTGTAAATATTATATTTTTTAGTATTTCTAACCCTCGGGGCCAGTTTAACAGCAGGTTTCACTACTTCAAAGGGGGAAAATTGATGATTTTTTTGATATCTTGAGCAGGAAGTGTATGTAGTATGAGCAAAGGTAAAACAGAGGGCAGAAACCTGTTTCTATTCAGTKWRGTGAGACAGAACCTGTGATGTTATGCTCAGCCAGAARAAATAACAAGCGCTGTACTGCATCTCTKCAATAGGTGGGTCGCGTTGKTGTTTTCTTGAAATATCAATAATCATTTTCCATTATCAACAATGATGTGATCGGTAGATAAATACTATATCATGTCCAAAACCGATGGATATGAATCAACTCGCGCCTTGATTGGCTGCTCTACCTGTAGGATATCAACTCATATATCTACCCTTATACATTAACGCAAATGGCAGCTGAATTTTATAATTGGCTTTAAAAAAGCGAAAAAAAGTCTTCATTACTCAAAACTCAAAACCCATTGGTTATCTGACAAACAAAAAGGTCTCATAGTCTTACCACTAAACGCCTTGTTGCTTGTCAGTTTATACGCGTTATACGACATGGATTTTTAGGATTATTTGTTAGATATTATATTCAAAACCCTGTTTAGTTCCATCTATGCGGTGTGCTAACGGTAGTCGTTGTCACTTGCTTGTTAGCGTTTCCTGCTGGCCTTTGTTTCTATGTTTCCTTTCTCAAGATCAAAGTGACTGYCACTTCGAATTTATGCGTATACTTACAGACACGTTCCATGATGCTCATTTAACTTACTCAGAAAATAAATGCATGGACGCGCGGAGATAAGGAGTTTATCTTCAAGTGTTGAAAAGATCTCTCACGAATCGGCGTATCATCATTCATACATATTCATACTGACTTAGGCCCAAGTCGCATTATTACACACATTTTATTTGTCGAATTCGGACACATACTTTGTTTCTCTTATTTCTCTTATGCCTTATTATTTAATCCCAATACTTAACTGATCATATAATTAACATCCAAGTTTTCAAATGGCGTAACGTGGAAAGAGGAGGGAGGGGAGTGCTTTCAATTTTAGAATTCACAACAGTTTTTAAAAAGGGCTGTTCAAGAAACTTCTCAATTCTTAAGAAATGTTGATTTTCTTGAGTTAYTGTCAATAATCGCTATTATTTGAGTCTTATTGTTATTTTTCCTATGCAGCTTTCTACACATGTTCGTTTGGTGGACCTAAGGCTTGCTGTTATCGACACAGGAGCCCCAAACAAGMGAAACTTGATTGCAAAGCTTGCCATTTATTTTGTAGAGACTGAGGAAAAATTTCCGAAGCAATGGCAGAGCACCACAAGTCGTTAAAACAAACAAACAAACAAACATTGAATAAAGGTATGATGGCATTATCTTTTGTTTTGAAATGAATACTGAGATGTATTATATGTTTCGGTTAATCCTACAAAGAAAAACATTTTCTCACCACAGCTAGTTGCTTATACTTATAAAAAAAACTAGATTGGGGAAATAATAGGATAATTAAACGCAAATGATAATTCCAAGGAAATGAGAAAAGCAAAATTAATGGATTTGAAGTAGTCTACAAGTGTAAATTCAATTAAGAAACTACTGAATACCGATGTATTTTGAAGTCCTTATTTTAGAAMGATAATGATCTTATCAAGTAAATTATCAAGATATTGTGTTTGCTGTTTTGTTATTCTTCTAATCAAACTCTTTCGGTGTTAAGTATTCTCAGCACACATTACTRGGTAACGGTTTTTACCTAAGGAGTTTTTTTCCAATAATGTTTTTTGAGAACTGACAYTTTCMAATGAAAAMACGTATATCTATCGCCCGAGAGAGATCATCTCTTTTGATGTTCTTGACCACCAATATGGCCGTCACCTAAATATACTTCCTATTCTTGTCAATTTAAAAGCTTTTATTTTTCTTGAGGTGCTAATTGAATTTCTAACAAATAAAGTAAGAACTTTGAAAATTCTGGATTTATTTTGATAAATAGAGTGTCTTTAGATATTTTTTGGGATATCTTTTGATTGATYGATAAAGAATTTTGACTTCACTTCGATTATTTCTAGAAATCTTTATGCATTGGCTTCCGTTTTGGATTCTCAAATTGTCAACATCAAAATCATCTTATGACAATATCTACAACTAATTTATTGCTGTCTGTCTTGGTGAAAATGTACGTGCCAAGATCCTTTAATGCCAAGAAGACCACATAAAAGGCTTTGAGGCACTACGTTGTTATAGCTACCGTATTTTTGAGTAATATATAACAATCAAATGGATTGTAAAAGCCTCATTTCTATTAGCTATTATATATCAGAAACGTTTTTTTATCATMAACTTCCTGAGTCTAATTTCACAGAAAAGCACTTTTTCAGGAATACCCGTAGGTTAGTGATAAGTAGGTTTTGGTGAATCAAAACAGTTTTTCGTAATATTGATAATATTTTTCGCTTTTCCTATTTCTTTATTATTATTACTTTTTTAATGATGAAAAATAGATTGTTTTGTTGCAAGAAACTAGTTGGTTGCCAGGCTTTAGAAAGAACTCTCAATTTGTAYCCATTGCAAAATGATTTATTCGTTTTTTCCATCACTTTTGATCGTTTTACAGTGCTATTTTTTTTGAGCGATTTTTTAACCACTCGCGAGACTGTACTAAAACCTTTATGCCACAACATAAATCTGGATAGTTAGAAAACTCAGAGGTTTTTTCGCCATTGTTAATCATGGCCTTCAGTACTTTTTGATAAAACGAGCAAAGATTAAACCAACACAAATGATAAAAAAGTACAAATTATCTCATAAAGCGTTATATATTCAAGATCAAAAAGCAATAACTTTAATTCATTAAAATATTACTTTAACATGTGTTAGTAAATTGAAAGAAAATTAAAAAAAACGAGGGTTTTTGATACAGTATTTTTTTGTTTACAAAAAGCGTTAAATCTGATACTTACCCTTATCACTTGATGGATGACAAATATGTCGATAGTTGCGAAACCAAATTCGCAAAGCTTGGCGTCTCAATGATCTTCTTGTAGATTCTTCACAGGTGTAATATCTTTCATCGCGTATGAGCAGTTGAAGTCGCTTCGTTCACCTGCGTAAGGCGGTCCAGTATGGAAACAAGGAATCCACTGCCTTCGTCGTTTCTTGATTTCACTCTTGTGTTCAAGTGAATGGCGAAAAGTTCTCAAATTTGCTGTCTAAAGAGCAGTTACTCTCATCATTTCCTTTCGTTGTGTATAGAAAATAATAGCTTTTTAATGGCAAGCTTTACTTATGTGAAAAGCACCGCACGACGCAAACTCAACTGCAGGTGATGTCGACCCGTTGATCATTCGCTCAACTTCTTCTTTTTTTTTCTAATTGTGAGAGTCAACCAATTCACTGGGCAAATATCAGTTCTATCTAATGTAATTTATTCGTAAAAATAAATGAGGGATTTGATCAATTAATCCGTATTWTGAAGTGATAATAGACTGGACTGTCAGTCTCGTTATTGATTGTTAGCATCAAAGGTAAAAGCGGTGTGATTATTGCGGATGACTACTCACTTGGAGTCTAAACGACCATGGTTTGTTGCCAAGGYTGTGAGATACTTTAAATTGAAAGTGTTATCTATATTATACCGCATATGTAGTCATTTTGCATCCGCTGTTGATTGAAGTCTATTGAGRTCTTATTTTCAGTTTAAAATACGTAAATTTAGATCAATTGGTMACGCCCTGAAGCGAACTAATAAATATTTCATTTTAATCTTCGTATGACAACCTTGACCGCGAAGTTTCAACTTCTTTAGCATAAGTAAAGGAGATTCAAAACTGTACAAAAAAAAATTCAAATTATAGTCAAAATATTTTTAAAATACTATATCTAATCAGCATGCACTGCGGTCGTGATTTATTCACAAATCAGTGGGCTTAAGATGGCGTCGAAAATCTATTTTAAAATCCATAATATCCATCCATCAGTTTTAAGACGATATGTTTACGATATTTTGATTCAAAGACTACGTACGTTCAAAAAAAGATTTTGTCAATATTCAGACAGTGTCAATATTTGCACCCATACACGTTTTAACAAGAGCGGCTGCCAAAAATGTGGCGAGCACGAGAAGCGACAGACACATGGAAATTATAGAGAGAACTTACAAACAACGTTAAGGTCAAATTTCACTAAGGAAGGCACGGCATATATTAAGATGTGGCGAGTCCAGAACGTACTGTCACCGTACTGTCACCGAMAAATGGGGGGAGGGAGGAGGGGGTACCCTACTGGTTCCAGAAGCTTGTCTTTTATTCTTTAGCTTACTATGTTATAAACCGGATGTAACGCAGGCTAACTATGTTATCGAGCCAAAAAACAAACAAACAAGCAAACAAACCAATTAACGGAAACGTCTCGTCTAAATAAAAGACAGATATGAAAAGAAATAAACGAAAGAAAAAATGRAATATTGTACAACGCGCGTGGAACGAGGTAGATATTGAAGGACGCGTGGACTGTGTGTTGATCTCGTGGGAGGGAAGGAACAGAACACAGTATAATAAGGGAAGGGAGGGGAAGCTAAATGCACTGTATACCGTAAATTGCATTGTTTGGAGCTGAAAGAGAAATCGGTCGTGTTTCAATGCAATTTTAAAATAAATTAAGTCACATTCACTTATTGGATTATATCCTGTTTTAATCCACTGAAGATATTCCGGAAACAGGGTAATATGGGATGCAAAAAATAGGATTTAAAATTATTTATAAGAAATGTCGATTTATTTATTAAACTTTAAAAACATTACATCCTAATTGCACTCGTTATCAAAAACGTTACATTGACTGAACTCGCACCCTTTTTTCCGCTAAATTAATGCTAATTTGTGCATTTCTAAAAATCGAGAAACCTCAAGCTGAGATGCTGAAGAATTCGTCCGTTTYTCAGTTATTAGATATTGAATTTATTTGAATAAGGGGACAACTGTTAAATCAAGTCGCTAATGGCGACACAACTCGAAGATTGTCAGACAAGTATACCGTGGACATAAATCTGTATGAAGCCTCAGACTTTGTTCAGACCTCAAAAGTCACATTTTGTGTGTTTAAAAAGCCATTTCTGCATCAAAACACCTGGCCATCTTGGTTACGGATTTCTAAATGCCCGTATGTTTACAGCAAAAATAAGTGACCTATTAACTAGTCCACCTCACCTCACACACCATCATCTATCTCCCTCCTATAACTCTTCGATTGCTTCGCAATCTTCGAGTTAAAAAGAACGAAAAACTCGATGCATATACTAGTGGCTTTTCTGCCGGACTAGTAGCCGACCTAGTAAGCGTGCGTTCCATACCAAATAAGAACTAAAACTATGATGAATAGATCAACTTGGTAACTATTTTTGAAACTCGTGTGATATTTTTTACCAATAATTTTCAGCATTGCTTCATCAGGAATTTTAATGGCAAATAAAACGTTTAAAACGCACATCAAAAATACTAAATATTAAAAWTTTGGATTCAAGATGGCGCAAGGATGATAGAATTTTGTTACCATTTCGAAGAATAGTTGTTACTATTTATGTCATTTATATCCTYGCTGTAACACAATACGCGAGTTCACTAGTTGTTGACATTGTAACTTGATGCGATATAATATAAACCATTCAAACAAAGGAACATGAGACATTCATAAGAATCAAGAGCAACTGCAAGCYAGAACCGGCAARAACTATAYCAGTCGATRTTTACAGATCWTTRTTCTACATGTTAGGATGTGTWTTTTTAATCGTCGTTTGTGTAGACGTTGTCCCACAAAGCGTTGCGTGTTTATCGTTGTTTGTGCCACGTGGATGGTGGTATGGTTTGCTCGCTCGCAAGTTTATTTTGATTTTAAGGAGAAGTCTTTATATCGACAGATTAAGATGGTGAAAAACAGTTGGTTTGAAAAGCAGTATGTTGGAAGTTTCCTACAGGAAAAACTGTTGGCATTGAAATGGGAGAGCTATGTAAARCTGTACTGCACAACCGATGGGAAAGGAGGCCTTGGACAGMTTGCATTAGCGAAGCARTATACGATAAATGATTACTTAAAATACACAAAACATATTGGAGAACAGCTTGGGTTCGTAAACGGTCACTCAATGTTCGACAATGGATGTGGATGTGGCGCTTTTCTATYAGCGTTCAATCAGACGTACATGAATGTCAGAGTTGGAGGTCTCGATATCAGCACAGGCGCAATTGCCTTCGCCAAGAAAATYTTCTCTAACCAAAAACGTAACTTCCAGGTTGGTACTGTTSAGGATTTATCGTTTGTCAAAGACGCGTCTTATGACCACGCTATGACGTTTTGCACGTTCCCTTACGTGAGCCCTGAAAACCAATGCAAAGCGGTCAAAGAAATGTTGCGTATTGTCAAACCAGGGGGGTCACTATACATCGGTCATAACCTTGAAATGGAGTGCTTAAAGGACCATATAGGAACGTACACATTGCCGTTGTGTTTCTGGAATGAGCGCTGTTTAAACGGACACGATGACGTCCAGGAGATTTATTATATGAAGGAAAAAGAACTGTTTGATGAAGTGAAATACTGTCCAGAGAAGACAGCGGTTTTTATTCATAAAAAGGGTCCCAGAAAGAAACTGTTCCTCAGAGATGCAAGGAGATATAGTTGTGACAGTAAATACCAACCGAGTGGAAGGGAATCAGTCATCAAACCTCCATAAAAATCTCATGTCATTCTGTTATAAAAGAGAAAAGAGTTTGCTTGCAAAGC